ACAGCGACATGAGCTTCCGCGGCACGGACGCGGTCGCGTGCTCGCGGAAGATGATGGGGTTCGCAGAGGCCATGGTGAGCTGTCCCGTCGTCGGTCATGGGCATGGTGAGGCATTGCTTCCGCGGCGTACCTGGGCCTTGTTGCTCATCAGGCGCTTTGCGACGGTGTCGACGGGATGGAAGATGGCAAGCTCAGCAAACCCTGACAGTGCAACGCGTCAGCTGAGCGCAGTTTCTCTCGTATTTCGCAATGCAGACCTGACGCCGCGGACCCCAGGACACGAGCCGTTCCAGACTCTTTTCCTTTACCAGACATGGGAGGAGACATTTCAGCGAAGAAAGAGAGGGTAGAAGGAGGAAGGGCTAGGGTGGAAGCGGGAGAGAAGCTAGAGCCTGGTGTGGGTAGACCAACGGCGGAAGTGTGATCAGCACAAAATTTCGGCACGGAGAAACAAGTGTACACAGACTGTCACAACGCGTAAATTTTGCACGTTTGGAGGGCTAGGCCCCTATCGAGGGCTTGGCTAGTACGTACTGGTGTTAGGTATTACAACTCAGCGGCCGGGGGCCTCTGGTAAGCTGCAAACCCGTCATAAATGTAATATGTTAGCAAATGTTGTAGACAGAGACAAGTAAGTAATTCTCAGTTGTATACAGATGGTAAGACGACTGCATTCAAGTACCTGTAGACAGAGACAAGCAAGTAATTCTGTAGGTACTGGTAATACTTTGGAAGGAACGGAAGCTCGGAATGAAATGCACCTCAGTTAAACATGGACGGTGAGACAACTAGGGCTGCTCAATTCTTAGGTCGTTCATCCGTTCATCAGTTCATCCGTTCATCAGCTTATAGAATTCCTGATGGTCACTGATTTTCCTCCTTGGCAGCTTTGAGCTTGAGCAGTCATACGCGTCTGAAGAAGCATGAGGCTGCGGGAACAGTGAATCTTTGGGTATCTGTCAACTTGGATTTTCGATGTGCTCTCAGTCAGCTCATAATCACAGTGGACCGAGTCTGTTCTCGATATTCGACTTTTGCTGGCCTTTTGATCATCACTCAAAATGGGGATCAATTAGTGTTTATATAAGCTGATGAACGATATGAACGGATGAACGGATGAACGACCTTAGAATTGAGCAGCCCTACTGAGGTGCGGTTGTGCCAAAACCAATCAAATACTTATGAAATAGGACTTGATCCAAGTCACATTACTCAGACAAGTGTTCCTGCTCAACAACTATTATATTATAGGGCTAGAGACCATGATGTTCACAGTAGTCTATCCTTGAGAGATCTCAAGCCATGAAATGAACTGTGGTAGCATCTATTGCAGAAAGAAACCTGTACCGAATGCTAGTTTTCAAGTAACGTAGGGTTTTGTCCGTGTCAAAATGAGCCAGTTTTGAGTGTGCATGCAAATGATACTCTCATGTGTGCTTTCCCTCAATACCTTGATGTCAGTAATGCACAAGACCTGGCCTAGCAAGGCCGCCCTGGTCTAACGGCACCATCGGTCCTGGCTTCCGTGTAAAACAGAAGTCGTTGGGTCCTGTGAGAGCAGGAGTTCAATCCCCAATGAAAGTCTCGTATTTTCAGGAGGTTTAGTGGGTATTATCACGAGGTGATCGAGTCCCACACTGTTCGGCGTTTGCCGTTCGTGCGTAAATGCATTCCTACCTTGCAGACTGCCGACGAGGTCCTGGTTCCTACGTCACACAATTCACGGACATTCTTGAGATGGACCTATGTTGGTCTCAAGGTGTTATTCCAAACGTGCCGCAAAAAAAAAAAAAAAAAAGACCTGGCCTAGCTACGCCATGCAACCACCCAGTACCTGTGCAATCTCATCAAACTCCGGCGGTCGGACGCAGCTGCGAGATGATGGTGGTGCGGTGATACACGTGACTGCACTGCTTGAGTGGCGGAAGCCACTTCATGTGACTCCAATGAGACTCAAGGTTTGGATCTGCAGCAACATGGCCAGCGCTCACGTGCTCACTCGAAATCAACAACAAGGACAGAGATTTTTTGTTGCGATCCCTCATACCATCAAGACCCCCCCCCCCCCCCAAGGGCCAGCACATAAGCCGCCAGGTGCCTCCAGTCCCGACCCTGGGACTCGGTAAACTGTACTGTGCTGGTCTAGCTCAAATGCAGCCGTGAGATGACGGTGTGACGGCCGTCAGACGCTATTGCGAGATGGTGTGACGACAGTCGGGCACGCAGCTACGAAATGGTGATGGTGTGACAGTGGTTGGACGCGACTGCGAACACCAGGCAGGGCTGGGCTAGAGCAGTCTACGCTGACTGCGGGGCAAGTTGCCTTACGGCAGATGCGGGATTGACCCTGCGCTCAGAATGAAAATCACTCACCGGATAACATCTGTATTCAGCCTCGGACCAGCCAATCAAATTGTTTAGTCCCGGGTGGGACATCCAGCTGTGGTCTGCCTGGGGACGCTCTGGCAGTGTACCAGGAAAGCAGGCAGGCAACTTGGAATACGAAGGAGGAACCGGACTCTGATTGGCTACTAGAATACAAGTTGACGAGGACGAAGATGTGAGGCTCTACTGATACAAAATCGTAATAAGTCCAAGTAACAGACATTGGTGAGCGACCGTCATTCGTTTGTTCAACGAGACGCTGTTTGGACACCGCGTGCGACACCAAACGCCAGACCTCCCGCCGCGAAACTCATAGGACCCACAATCAAGCGATCCAACCCGGTTTCGACGCTGAACATCCGCTCGTTGGTCTGCTCCCACGTGCGATGGATCTCAGAACGTCCGTAGGCAGCATTGACGGCGCAGGTAGGTTCCGAGAGGCGTTTAGAGGCGAGCATGGTGTAGGGCGATGCGCCAGCGGCGAGCACGGAGGAGGTGGCCAGGACGATCGTCAAGATACTATTGGACGATTAGCGCATACTAGCGGAACGAGGGCGGCGGCAGACCAATAAGCGACTACGAGAGCGAGCATGACACACAGCACAGGCAGCGAGAGCTGCGATCCAAGGACTCTCTGGACAGATCTTACCTCGGCGGCCGCATCTGCAGCAAAGAGAGCAGCCGAGAAAGCGATCATCTCGCGGGAGAGCTCTTTAGCGAAGGCCGCCGGGTAGTCGGCCCCAGTCCCGTCAACGGCCAAGGGCACTCGCTCAGAGAGGAATTCGGCAGTCGTCATCGCTGCGATGGAGCGAACGACGTTAAGATCAGCCACAGTAGTCGAATTGGTCGGGTCGATGATGATAGCACCGTCAAAGTAGCTGTAAGACGCTTGACGAACGGTGACCGTGCATGTGAGAACGTTGTAAGAGACACCCGCAGCGCCGTAGGTGTAGAATCCAGTGTTGTCGACAACTGCAAGAGTCTCAGACGCTATCCAGCACGAAGCGGCACGGCTGCTTACATGAGTTCGCATCGCCGTCGTAAGCCTGAGACTGGACGACAGCACCAAAGCGGAAGGAGCTGTGACGGTTGAGTGAACGAACGAGATGAAAGAGAGGAATGCCCACTTTGAATCGACGAGATAGGGTGCAGAGTACACTGTTCCAGAAGGGTCGATGATGCCGAAGGGATACGAGCCAGTCGTTGTGTTGTACGCAGCGTCGAAAGCCACAGAGGGCGGGCAGCTCAGAGCCAAGAAGTTGGAGGAGTTGCTGGCTGAGCTGACGCACTGCTGGGTAACGCTTTGGCACGAAGTCGAAATACCGTATGTGGAAGCGTAGAAAGCCAAGTTGACAGGTAGAGATGCAGGAATGATCAACGCGGTCCCATCGTTTGCAATCCCAACGGCATTGGTCAGGGAAGTGTTCGTCAGAGTCCGTAAGCCTTCAGGGAGCGAGGCGCCGAATGGGTTTGTGCTGCTCGAATATGAGACAATCGTCGGTAGCATTGGGAAGCACAAACCCAGTAGCGTAGAGCCCGCAGAAATTGATCCCAGCAACAACAGCTCCGGCTGTGGTAGCACAAGCAGTCGCGTTGATTTGTCTCGAGAACTTGGGCCACGAGCCGCTATATGCGCCCACCTGAGAAAAGGAGAGGGCGTGAGAAACCCCGCCAAAGATTATGAGCACGACCACGAAGGTATACGCCAGGCCCAGGGTCAGACCTAGAACACCCAGGGCGTAGCGGAAGATCGGGGGACGATAGGAGGAACGCTTGTCCGACGACATGTAGCGCAGGCCCGCGAGAAGAGCCGCAATGTCGCCGGAGCGTAGGACGTCCATGATAATGCCGAGCCTTGTTGGGGTGACATGAGATCGCCGCTTCATGCAGGGCTCGATTCATACGCACTGGAAAGGGGTAGGCCGATCAAGTCCGTTCGCGTCCACGGAAGACTTCAGCCACGACCACGCGAGACGGCACGACAGCATCCGAACAACGAAAGGCACAGATGCGACGAGGAAGAAGGCAAGGGCGTACGTGACGGCGAGGACTGGACCCAAGCGCGCGGTGGTGACGATCTCCGTGCCATGGAGCGCAAACTCGTTCACCACGAAGACATGCAGAGAGAGGCCGATGGTGAGGAGGGCGATGCCGGCCGTGACGGACAGACCCGTGAGCATAATACGCTTGCCCCGGAATCCGAACGAGGAGGCCGTGTCGGACGATTGGGTCGAGAGGGCGGACATGTTTTCGGCGATGAGACCTCCTCTGGACGTCACTGAAGATGTCTCGGCTTTGGCGGTCAGATCTCCAGGTGGAATTGACGGGCTCGCTGTTTCGTAAGACTCATTCGAGTGCATAGATATTTGCGGTGTGAGCAAGGTAGACATAATGGTGGTGGGGCCATGGGCGGCTATCCCTTCTCTTATATGAAGCGGCAGATATGAGACAGAGTGGAAGAGGATAGACTACGCCCGTGGCTGCTTCATCCCTATCCTCCGACGGTCTCAGAATGCAGGGGGAGCGGAACTCTGCAGAGTGAGACATGGTTCTGTGACAAGGTTAGCTCTGCGTTGAAGCTCAGATCAAATTGCATCATGATCGCACTGTCACTTGAGTCCCTTGCCTTTTGCGAACGTGAATATGCGTGGTGGCCCAAGCGGCTAAATTTCTTTTCGACGGACGCTAAATACGCTCTCACGATCAAACTGACTGTGACATCTTATGTCGGTGTCGATTGGTGGAACTGAAGTGGCTCTGACACGCATTCTCCAAGATTGACTTTGGCGTTTGTACCTGACCTCGGACAGATATCAGATATCTCTCCACCAATCTCGTCGTTCATCCTCGCTAGCGCAGCACCGTTGCAGATGTTATAACGAGAAGGAACAGACTTCTCGAGGGCCATCTGTCATGCTGCAGCGCGCCACGAGGTGGATGTGCTCAGGGACACGAGGATTGGTGGCAATAACTCGTCCTGTCCAAAGTAAGTACAGCCGTGCCGGCCTGCCTGTCAAGATTTTCATGCAGAGAAACCGAAACGGAAATGTGCATCTTGGTCAAGGGCGCTTCTCTCGATGGCTTGGTGTATAAGAAGCGCCTGTTGAGAGAGGCAGACGCTGTCCTACACTGCCATCATGTCGTCTGTCCTTTCTCTGACCCCGCTCCTTCTCCTTCCATTCGTGAGGTGTCCTGTCTGTCCTCTTTCCGCTCCCTCTCAACCGAATAACAGGTTCTTGGTGCCGACGTTCGAGTCCTCTCAAGACAGACCAATCCCGCCAACCTCCCCGCGAACTGGTCCCTGGCCGGATGTTTCACGGACGTCTCGGTCGCGCGTACCCTCGCCGCGTCGTCCACCGCCGGCCCGAATATGACCGTTGCTAGCTGCATCAACTTCTGCGCGGGGGAGGGATACATCTTCGCTGGGGTGGAATTCGGCGAGTGAGTGCCTTGCCTTCTCCGCTGCGCGTCGCGCCGCTCACATCGCATCGCGCCGTAGCGAATGTTGTGCGTCGATGACCTTCTCCTCCGCCGTTTCCTTCTCACGCGCATTCACGTATCAGATTGCGACTCCACGATCCAAATCCCCGGCGGGAAAGCCCCGCTCACGGACTGTACAGAGCCCTGCGCCGGCGACCACAGCGAGATCTGCGGCGCGTCCGGCAGACTCTCGGTCTACACCAGTGGCGCGCCGAGTCCCGTGCTCGTGCCAAACCCAGCAGCCGGATGGACTTACCAAGGGTGTTTCACGTATGTCGGGTGTCGCTGCCTGCGGTTGACTGATTGACGTCCGTGCTAGCGACAATACGGCCAATCGGACCCTGCCCGTTCCGATTAATGTCCCCGTCGGTGTCACCGCTGAGACATGCACCGCGGCATGTATGTCGGCGGGCAAATACGTCTGGTCCGGTCTGGAGAACGGGCACGAATGCTGTGCGTCCGCGTCCGCTCGCGAGCCCGCCCAGATCTTATCTTATCTGACCACGATCACTCAATCAGGGTGCGGAAGCAGTGTCGGCGGGATCGCTGCCCACGTCTCGGACGACGACTGCCGAGCTGTCTGTAGTGCGGACCACACGGAATATTGTGGTAACGCGAATCGGCTCGCGTTGTACGGCTTCACCTCGGCAGACGCACCGCCTCCACCTCCGCAGACGTGCGAGACCACAGTGAGCAACTTTACGCTTCTTGCTGTGTATCGGAATCCGCCGGTGGGAGGTCCGAAGCAAGTCAATGTCCGCGCTGTGCTCGTCGAGTTGGTCCCGAACACTTTTTGGACGATTCTGTCGGTGAGTCTCCGCTCACAATGCAGTCTGCCTTCCGCTGAATGCTGCAGGCTTGTGCGACGTGCTGCTCGGACTGGCCCACGTTCACACTTCAAAACTCTGTCTTTCACCCACACTCCTTCTCGAATCCTGTGCAGTCGATGACATCCATCGGTGCTGCAGACGGGGAGTCGCCGGCGTTCGTAGCATCCAGCCCCCCTTTCCCGGGCACTCAGGCATACTGTGCACAGGTAAGTGACGCTCCATGGAATAAGATTTCGTATCGTTGATCTTCTGGGCAGCAATCCGCCATCAACTTGACCTCTCCGCCGCTGCTTTCGTTCGGTGGACAGAGCGACTCGTGGTCGCTGTGCACCAACACCTCGCTCAACGCCAATGGCCGAATTGATCTCGTGCATTCGCCGGTGACCAATCATCCCAACTACCTGTTTTCGTCGTGCAATGCAGTTGATCTTCTGGTCATGCAAAACTGAGCATAAGTAACTTACTTAGTTCCCTTCCTCCCATAGACTTGCGGTGTATAGTATGTAGTACAACTTGTGCTTGATCTCTAAGCTACTGCCATGGCGCTACACCGCCAAAGAGCCCCCATAGACCACAGCTGGATACCCCACCTGGGAATCAGCAAATTAGTTGGCTGGCCCTAGGTACGATACAGCGTGTATCCAGACAGCGCGCCCACCCGATCGTTAGGCAGCTATGATCCAGATGGGAGTTTGAGTACTTGTTAAGGAACCTACGCGTCAAGGGTGAAGCTTTGAAGGTCCATCAGCGATTAGTGGGGCCATGTGACCGCGACACTTTGTCGGCGACGTCGCGGAAGTTGCTGTTGCTGTCTTTGCCCTTGGATCTTTGCCCCTCCCTCATCGGTGAGGACATGTGACCGTGTTGCTTTGTCAGCATTTTCGCAGAAACTACACCATGTGACCACCCAGCTCACGAGGTTATTCATGTGACTATCCATTCCGCAGCAAGTAAACTATCTATTAAGATGCGGTGCCTGAGGGCAGCATGTAATTGAGGGAGAATCGTGTTTCTTCGGCCGTTGTGGGTGGTGAGGATTGGCGATTGGGTCCGCATGTGACCATGTCACTTTGTCAACAATTTTTGTAGAAATTGCTGACCAATCACCTGCCATTCATCCCGATGAGATATGTGGGTGATTGAGACAAGCAGAAACGGAGCGCTAAAAGACATTAATACGCTAGATCAAATCACAAAAGATTCTATCCGAAAGCGCATTTCACTGAAGTGATAGGGGGCGCAGAGCGCGGCAATGAGCGGGGACGACAAGTAGCGAGTGGGGTTGAATTTGTGCTCTCACGCGACCAGACTTGCCCTAGGGAGACGCTACTGGACAAGAAACTGGGTCTATCAAAATACGCATCCAACAGGCTCGCCAGGAGCAGTCGTTTGAGTCCGGATAAACACAACAGTCGATCCGCACTGAATGCTATTGCTTATCTTCGAATGCTGTGAATTCACTTGAGCTCTTTATCTGCTCCCGCTACTCGAAACCGAATCACAGCTCCACGGAGGTTCTAGATGTGAGCAAGGCGTAACGAATTCCAGCTTCTTGATAATTGGAGGCTTCCTAGCCACATGGTAATAGGATGCGTAAAGTAAAGTCGGCGGGACATAAGAACAAGCGGTGCCGGGATGTTACCGAATAGCTGATCCGCGAGAGATGAAGCACGTTTGCAACCGGTGGCTTCGAGGAACAAGAGAAGATTGTTGAGACGTGAACACGGCCATCACGAGTCTAAGCGCAGCACTGTTCGGCATTTCGCGTCTATGTACACGCGCGCCCAAGGCTTATCGCTTAACCCTCACCATCCTCACCCTGCCGAGCATTGCCGAATATGGACGGACAGCGTTGCGGGGCGCTAGCCGGATTCGAGGCCAAGCAATGTAATTGGTTGATCGACGTCATCAGATTTGATCGCGCACTAACGAGTTCCGAATAAAGTCAAGCTCAAGTCAAGTGTGGGGTAATCGCGCTTGTTCCGAGCTCTCCCTCCTCCCGCTGCACGACCATGTCCAAGTTCGAGCCCAACGGCAGATCCGCCGTCAAGCGCACGTTTGCAGGCCAAGGCAGACTTCCCAAGCTTCCCATCCCGCCATTGGAGGAGACCTGCCGCCGGTACCTGACGGCTCTCAAAGCGTTACAAAGCGACGAAGAGCACGAGCTCTCGGCAGCTGCAGTCAAGGAGTTTCTAGAGACGGATGGACCGAGGATACAGGAAGTGCTGCTGAAGTGGGCCGAGGGCAAAGACAGGTCTGCATCACTGTCTCACCGGGGTGGTCCTGTGCGCTGATAACGGTGCTTACAGCTACATCGAAGAGTTCTGGTGAGAACATTGTCTTGTCTTTCCTGGTGTGCTGTGGGCGCGTGTAGAACCCCGCGAGGCGCTCGGTCTCGGCTAGATGGTCGCTCAGGCTGATCAATCCCGCCCCGTAGGTATGAATCTTATCTGTCCCACTCGGATCCCGTTGTATTGGCGTTGAATCCGTTCTTCGTCCTCGAGTGCGTGAATCATCTTTGCAACAGCGGGACTCGTGTCTGAGCAGCTCACGCAGGAACGACCCGTCGCCAGATCGCGGGCTGCAGCTTCCCCGGGCGGCCTCGCTGATCGTTTCCTCCCTCGGCTTCATTCACGATCTACGTGCGGAGATTCTTGAACCGGACAATGTGCGAGGTGTGCCCTTGGACATGGACCAGTACCGCCGTCTCTTCGGCACTGCGAGGTGCGTGTTCCCGTTCGGGGGTGCTTGGCACCCATCCTGATCGTTCGGTAGAATACCCACTCTGGTACTCTTGCTGCTGCCAAGACTGAAGCGACTCTTCTAATACCTATCTGTCCAGCGAGGATGCAAGATGCACAGCAACCCGAGTTCGAGACACATCGTTGTGCTTCGGCGTGGCCAGTTCTGTGAGTTCTCCCGCCCTGCCGGTCCGGCTCGGATCAACTCTGACTCGTTGGCAGACTGGTTTGACGTGCTTGACGAGGACAACCTCCCTGTGCTGACGGAGCGAGAAGTTATCCGCAATCTGCAAGCTATCGTCGAAGATGCAGATAAGACCCATATATCCGAGGTTCGCCCTTTCGAAGCCGGAGAAGGTGCCCAATATTGACCGTTCGACAAGGTGGCCCGTGGTGCGATTGGCGTGTTGTCGACGGAGAATCGCAAAGAATGGTCCCGGCTCCGGACGACTCTCTCGACAGACAGCCACAACGCTTCCTGTCTCGAGATTGTAGACAACGCATTGTTCATCGTTTGTCTTGACGATGCGGCGCCCAAAGATCTCGCGGAGCTCTGCGATAACTTCCTCTGTGGAACCTACCAGCTTGACGGCGGCGTCCAAATCGGAACCTGCACCAACCGGTGGTATGACAAGTTGCAGATTATCGTGTGCGCCGATGGAGCTGCTGGGATCAATTTCGAGCATACGGGTGTGGATGGACACACTGTTCTCAGGTGTGCTGACTCGTCATCGTTCTTCTCTGATTCCGCCGTAACTCGCCCCAGATTCGCCGCGGACATCTTCACCGAGGGGCTCATGCTTCTCGCGCGCTCAATCAATCCCTCCGCGCCGACACTATTCCACGCGCCTCTTTCCCCTCACGCCAAGTCCTTTAAGCCGCCTAAAGGCAAGGTGAATGGTGTCTCACCTGTGCGCTCTACGATCGACACCACGCCCAAGAAATTGGAGTGGCAGTTGTCGTCGGAGCTGCGGGTCGGGATCCGCTTTGCCGAGACGCGTCTGAGCGATCTGATCTGCCAGAATGACTGCCAGGCGTTAGAGTTCAGCGGCTACGGCAAGAATTTCATCACAAGTCACGGATTCAGTCCGGACGCTTTTGTCCAGATGGCATTCCAAGCAGCTTATTTTGGGCTTTATGGTGAGTGCTACCCCACCAGTGGCATCTCCGGTTCCTCACATGATCGAACGAAAGGCCGAATCGAATGCGTGTATGAGCCTGCAATGACCAAGTCGTTTTTACATGGACGGACGGAGGCTATCCGATCCATTCAGCCGCAGAGTGTGGCGTTCACAAAGGTGGTGTGATCTCTTCTGCTGCTGGGCACTTGGGAGACTCAACGACGTAGGCCTTTTACTCGGATGCTTCGGCTTCCGACAAGATTGCGGCCCTGCGAAAGGCTTGTGAAGGACATGTTGCGCTTACGAAGGAATGCAGCAAAGGGTTGGGTCAAGACAGGTAGGCTGTGTCTATCCTTTCACGTAATGTTGAGAATCTCATTGGACTTGAAGACATCTGTACGCGTTGTACTGTCTGCTCCAGCGTCAGATGAGCGGTGAACTGGATCCATCTCCGGATGTCCCCGCTCCATGGACTGGGAGTCCGAAGACGATGCCCACGATATTTACTGACCCTGGATGGAGCGTGAGTCGATTTTAGCTTCGCTATGCAATTTCCCTGTTAAATGGATCGAATCAAGCTTATCAGCACGTCCATTTTGTCTACATCCAATTGTGGTAATCCGGCTCTGCGACTGTTTGGATTCGGCCCAGTCGCAGCTGACGGGTATGGTATCGGATATATCATCAAGGAGGACGGACTTTCGATGTGAGTGTGTTCTTGTCCCAGCCAATTTCGACTTAATTCCGGCCGAAGTTGTGCTTCGTCAAAGCACCTCCAGACTCGTCGCTTCCTAGACACTCTCAAGAGCTATCTACTTGATGTCCAGCGTATTCTGATCCAGCTTTACTCTAACGCCAATGCACGCCAGGCACCCTTCGTTGATCACAGCGGTGTGTTGCGGGATTCGAAGACCGGGCGGGCTCTGAATGGCAACTCGGACGACGAGGACTCAGGGGAAATCGACATTTGTGGGTCTTGTGTTCATTCGGATCTGAATCTCGCTCATTCTTATCAAGCGGGTTATTCCTTTTTCGATACAAATGATGTCAAGCTTCTCGGGCAGCGCAAGGTGTCTCCGTATTCAAACATTGGTTTGTCCTGTCTTCTGAGTTGTTAACTGGACTTCTCACGCCACATCCAGGCAAGGTCATTCAGATTGCGGAGTACTAGGGATATATTATATGTTAAATGTACAATTATTGTACCGTTTGTCCATAAATTTAATTGAAGGCTATAAATTCACAGGTGTTGAATTGTGTGCTTATTGGTAAAAGTGTTGTGTGACCAACGTTCTTGTACAGTGAAGTGCACTGTGGATGCCAAGACAACCTCAAGACCCTGTAAGGGGAGTCATGCTCAGGGCCAAATCCAAGGTAACGAGACTGGGGATCTCTGATCCCCAGCAACTAAGTAGTCGTGATATGTAACCTTGAAATGATCCAATCATGTACAGCCTGTCAGGAGGCAATTTCTGCCACGCGGCACCCTGCTTCCACTCTGTGACATTGCAGTTGCGGGCACTCGCCCCTGATGGCTTTTCGCTCGATGTTCAAATCTTCGCTAAGGAGATGTGGTATCCCGGCATCGAAAGTCTTGCGGTACACGCCGAGTCGCCTGACCGTGCATGTGACGGTCCTGGGTCTAGGCGCTTGTCTTTTTGCCGCAAATCGCACGACTGTACACGCAGACAGCGAGAGCGACGACTCAACGGAGACTCAGATATCTCCTTCTGAGACTCCTCTAGAAGCCGGTTTCACTGCCGACAAGGACGCCTGGACGGACTTTGTCAGGTGAGTTATATCTCGATCATTGACTGACGACCGAAGCTGCCCACTTACCTGCTGCTAGATATCTGGGCTCGCAGTCGTCCGAGGGAATCACGAGGATATACTGGCTTACAAGATTCGGTCAGTCCGGGTAGATCAATTTCATTTTTACACCGTACTCATCCAATGACAGATGCGAGGTTGCGGATCATGAGCTATGGTTCAAAAACGATGATTAATCTCTTCGATGGAGATTTCCTAAACAGAGCCAACATCGCTGATCTAACAACGGAGAACCTTTGGTTTAATCTTGCCGCGCTATTCCGATGGTATCAAGTTGACAACACGGTCTCTCAGCCAGTTGAACAGGTCCACGAGACCCATCCATCCTCTGATGCGATCCATTCTGTCATCAAGACGGCGATCATATATACCGACGAGTTTCTTCTCGGCCACTTTCTCGGACGCACATTCAGTTCCTTGACGAAGAAGTACGCGGCAGACGCTATCCGCGCGACGACTTCTACGTGTCTTGTCTCCGCTTTCTACGAAGCAGATGTCCAGATGCTGCACATCACCAGTTTGGGCAACATGCGCGCTTTTCTCGGCCGGCCGATAGAAGACGCAGCCACCGACGGGCCACAACAATATGCTGCGCACGTCCTCTCCGTCGATCATTCCCCCCAAAACCCATCGGAAAAACAACGGATAGCGGGATTTCACCCAGGTGAAGAGGATCTCTTCGAAGACGACTTGTTCCTCGGCCGAAGCTACACTCGTGCTATTGGCGACGGCAAGCTCAAGTGGTCAACCGGAACCCAACAAAGACTACATGCCGACTACCTCGGCTCCGCTCCCGACCCCAAAGTGCGCACCCCGCCTTACATTTCTGCAGAGCCGGATATTACCGCCATCAAGATCAAGCCGGGAGATTTTCTTGTCCTTTCCTCCAACTGGTTGTCGAAATCGCTGACTAGCGAAGAGGTCGTCGGGCTTGTGGGAGACTGGCTGAACAAGAATAGACACACTCACCTGTACGACCCTATCGACCCGTCCTTCGCACCGGAGGGCAAAGCCGTCGAAATTCCCGCAGAAGAGCTGCCCGTCACTCTGAAGGAGGACAATACAACCATGTTCCGACGCTGGAATGTGCCCAAACGGTTTATTACCGTAGAGCAGAATCCTGCGACTCACGTTGTGAATAATGCGCTAGGCGGCGCCAATCTGGAACTCAGATCAGCCCTGGAGGAACTGCCGCTGGAAGGATCGGAGGGCAATTTGTACGTCTCCGCTTCAACTCACTTGCGCATTGTGGCTTAATATGGCCGACAGAGGATCTCTCGGTGTCGTCGTTATTTTCTTCTCTTAAACAGCTGGATATATACGCGCCGGGCGTACATAATGTGCTCTTATGTTCACAACTTTTGGACAGATGGTTTCTACACTAGGGGGATTGAAAAATGAGTGAAATAGCTGTAATTTAGAACATGAAAACCATGAGCAGCTATAATTTAGAACACAAAAACAGTAAACAGCTACGAAGTTCTCTGAGAGCAGTTAATAAGAACCTCTAGTATGCAGAATCAAGTTGAACACTAGGTTCCGACCCTCATCTGGTATCTGATCGAGTGGCTATGCTGGCTTACTCATACCATCAGATGCATTCACACTCCGCCGCAGGCGCGGCAGGGCATCGTCCATCATCACTCCTCATCCCCCAGTCCGTTACGAATCGTCATGTCTGGGTGGCAGCAGCCGGGATACCAATACCCCATGCAAACGGGGTATCCTGGTGCTAATCCACAATACCAGCAGCAGCCCGCTCAGTTCCAGCAACCTCCCCAAGGAAACCTCTCTTTCTTGCAAAACCCTCCGCAGCAGCAGCAGCAGCCGGGTCTCGTCCCTCAGCGGACGGGATATGTACCACCCGCCGGGATGCAGCAGCCGATGCAGCCCCAGGCGACGGGCTACCCAGGTGGAGGCGGCGGCTTTTTGCAGTCGCAGCCCACGGGTTACGTCAGTGGTGGAAATTTCCAGACGCAACACCGCCCTGCCCCGCCCCCGCCCGTCCCAGCGCTCCCTCCCCAGTTCGCCGGACAGGGCAGTGCTTTGTTGGGTGCCCAGCAGCCGAGTCGTTTCATGAGCACGTCGCCCGGGCCGATGGGCCTCGTTCCTCAGGCCACGGGTTTTCCCGGTCAGCGGCCGCTTGTTGCGCAGCCGACAGGCTTCGTGGATCCCCGCTTGGCGCTCATGTCGAACTCCTTCATGCCTATGAACACCGGCTCGCCGTATTCCGCCGGTGGCGCCCCGCAACTGCAGACTGCGAACGCCAATTTGCAGCAATCGTTCCAGCAGATCCAGGCGCAGAAACCGCGCATCTCGTGGGCGTTGGGGAAAGCAGAGAAGAAGAGCTACGATGCTATCTTTCGGGCTTGGGATGCGCAGAACACAGGGTTCATCAGTGGACAGACAGCTTTGGAGGTGTTCGGGCAGAGCGGACTTTCCAAGGACGATTTGGCGCGGATCTGGACCCTTGCTGATATCGATGACCGGGGAAAGCTGAATATTGCTGAGTTCCATGTTGCGATGGGAATCATCTACCGAAGTGCGTCTCGTTTGTCTCCAGCCGATTCTGTGAAACTGATGATTTCTGCTTCTAGGACTCAACGGCAATGACATTCCAGACCAGTTACCCCCCGAACTCATCCCTCCTTCGTCGCATGGCATCGAAGATTCTGTCCACTTCATGCGTGACATCCTCAAGAATGAGACCCGATCCCAGAACCAGTCCCCGTCGGACGGTCCCACCTCCTACTTGCCCAACCGGTCGCTCAATTCCAATACCAACTCTGGTCGAGATGCTGGCCGTGATGCAACTATTTACAAGCACAATGACACGCGCGAAGCCTACAAGCCGCGGAATCGACATGTCGACAGGGACGCCGTGCGCTCGACGTCGGAAATGGATTCGCCATCGGCTGACCTCAGTGACATTCAGCGTCAGCTGAAGAACACTGCCTCCATGCTTGATCGTGCTGCGGAGGCAGATCGGTCCCGCAATGCGGAGGACGAGGCTCTGAGTCAGGAGTTGGAAGATCTTAAGTACCGGGCGGAACGTATCAACGAGGATCTGGCTTACACTCGCCGGGGAATCCCGTCTGCCGCGAAGGATGATGAGCGCCGCAGGCTTGAACGGGAACTAATGGAGCTTATGCACGTGAAGGTTCCCGAGGTTGAACGTCGTCTGAAGCAGAGGGAAGAGAGAAAGGAGAAGGAGAAAAGAGAGGAAAACCGCGAGCGTGATCGAAGAAACGAACGTTTCGGACGATACGATGACCGGGATCGCGACCGTGACTACGACAGGGATCGTCGACGTTACGACGATGAGGAGCGCGACAGGCCCTACTCTCGCGGTGGAGGATACCGGGACGACCGCGACTTTGATCGCGGTCAGTACCGTCGGCCGTCTCCTTCTCTGAGGGATCGTGAGTATGAACGCGATGACCGCCGAGAGCGCGATTACGATCGACCTCGAAGTGCAGCGCCCCCAGAAGCTGCACCAACTCCACCGCCAGCCGCAGCGCGTCCAGCGGCAACCCCATCGCCAGCTCCAGCCACCAAGAACATGACCCCCGAGGAACGCCAAGCCTTTGCTCGGGCGGAGGCCAAACGACGAGTGGAAGCACGGATGGCCGCCCTGGGCGTGACACCGTCGCCTGGGTCAGCAGCTCCTGCGATCGATACTAGCATTGAAGAGCGTCTAGCCCAGGAAAAGAAGGAAGCGGAGCAGAAAGCCTTGCTTGCTGCCCAAGAGGCCGAAGCCAGAGAAGCAGCACGCAAGGAGAGATTGGCGAGCGAGAAGGCGCTGAGAGAGCCGACGCCTGTTCCTACGCCAACAACTAGCGCGGCTCCACCGGCCCCGACGCCCGTTCCTACTCCCTCAAGGCCAGCCGCTGCTCCTCCGAAGCCGAAGGCAGCGCCGCCGCCCCCAGCGCCGCGGTCGAAAGTCGCCCCACCGCCTCCCAAACCTCGTGCAGCGCCACCACCAGCTGCCCCTCCCAGGGCTCCCGCCCCTCCTCCGGCGCCAGCTGTTCCCGAAGTCGACCCGGAGGAAGAACTTTACCGGCAGAAGGAAGAGCAGCTCCGGAAGCAAAGGGAAGCTCGGGCTGCGCGACTGCGGCAGTTGGAGCTGGAAGAGGAACAGGCCGCAAAGGAAGAAGAGGATAGGATTCGGGCTCGAACTTTGGCTCGTCAGCAGGCGAGTGCGCCTCAGCCAGCGAGCCCTGCTGCACCTAGCAGTGATCTTTCGGCCAGCGTGACAAGCTTCAGCACCCGTTCGCCATCGCCTGTCCTGGTTGCCGTCCCGACTCCGACCCCTCCCCCTGCTACAATAGTCGAGAGCCCACCTACCGCGGGCAAATCGAACAATCCTTTCGACAGGATCCGAGCAGCTGGCGGGGGAACCCCTGCCTCCCCTCCTGTAGTCGGTGGCACTAATCCGTGGGAATCCGCAATCGCGACACCCCCGGTAGCATCACCGGCGAGTCCTCCTGCTGTTCGAAACAACCCTTTCCCGGCTCCGGTCAAAACACTGTACAACACAGCACCTACTGGATTGGGCGAGGATGACTGGGAAGATGTCGTGGAAAACGAAGGCAGCGACTCGGATAGCGACGATGAGCCGAATCGGAATACGAGGCGGAAGCTAGCGGAGGAGTTGTTCGGTGGTATATTGCCACCTGCCGGACCGCGGAGTGCGACACCCCAGACCCCAGCTGTCTCTTCGCCACCTGCTGCACCGGCACCGCCTCCACCGCCAAGTGCACCGGCAGCTCCTCCTCCTCCCGCGGCTCCGAGGGCACCGCCGCCACCCTCCGCGGCCCCAGCTGCGGCACCTGGCGACATGAGCGCTTTGCTCAAGTCAATTCAGGGTGGTCTCAGCCTGCGCAAGACTGTCACAGTTGACAAGAGTGGGCCCGGGCTCTCAGGCAAAGTCATCGGCGACTCTGCACCTCCAAGCCACATCTCTGCTATACCACAGGCCCCGAGCCCTCCTCCAATTCAGGCGGCTCCGTCGTCCAAGGACAATCGCCAGAGTGTCGATTGGTATGCCGGCTTGGCTGCCGATGCCGCACCGCCGGTCATCGATGTGTTGCCCCCGATGAAGGAAGAGAGCGAATATGACGAACCGTACGGTACGGTGCCCGATATCCATGTCGAGCACGAGCCGGAGGCCAGCGGCGAGAGCGATCTGATGGCTGATATCGACAAGAGTGTTGGTGAGTGCTTTTTTTTTGTCTTTGCTTCCCTCTCACTCAGTTATCCCTCAGAACTCCGGGTTCGGTCGCTCTACGCTTATCAAGGTGACGGGCCCGATGATCTGTGTAAGCTTGAATGCTGCTCACCTTGGGACTCTGAATGACTTGCTGTCCAGCTTTCTCTGATAACATCATTCTGCTGGCGAACCCATCGAAGTCGGGAGGAGATTGGTGGTTTGGCAAGTCCCTGCGAGATGGAAGCAAGGGTTTATTCCCCAAGACCTACGTGCAGGAGATCCACGCTGGTGCGTTCACTCACTGTTCTGTCCTTTTCTGCCGTGCTGAACTTTCGCAGTGAAAGCAAAGGCAGTGTATGCTTACGCAGCTGGGAACCCCGACGAGGTTTCGTTCGACGAGGGAGAACAGCTCACGATCATCGATCATTCCGAAGATGAGTGGTGGAAAGTGGACAAGGGCGGAGAGATTCTGATCGCACCGGCTGGCTATCTGGAACTCGTAGAGGGTGAGTTTCTGTCTCCCATCCCCCAGCGTTTTCGTGTTTCTTATTGCCGCAGGCTGAATGTTTTTCTTTTATGTCTCTCTATGTACTTTTCGTTAATAGTACCCAATTCCGCTATTACGACCGCCCCTGCCAACCTAGAGAAGGATGCTCCCGAGTCCGATTCCGATTCCGAGGAAGACGACGACGACGAATACGGAGACGGCGAGGAGTCTGACTATCACTCACTGGACGGCAGCGACGACGAAAATGGAGAAGCGAGAGAACATGAACGACAGCTGGTTCTGGAAGCTGCTGGGCTGATCTTGAAGAACGATGCTGTCCCGCCTCCTCCTCCAACAAGGAGACGGTCGTCGAAAGATGATCCGGAGCCCAAGAAAAGACGACGTCCGCCGCCAGCAGCGCCGGTATCCTCTCGAGTGGCGACGAAAGAGCTGCCTCCCATCCCGCTCGATGATGCGTTTGAACGCTACGAGGCGTTCCGCGAGCAGAGGCTGAGCAGTGAAGGTCATCGACTGAGTGTCGCGTCGATCGAAGTCCCATCGTCTCCGACCATGAGTATGACTCCCAGTGTGTCGTCTGAGGGAACGACGACAGGTAGAGGGTATTCGCATTTTCTTCATTTTCTCGGTCGGAAGACGCCTAATTCTGGAGGGGAAGACAAGATCAGGCCCATGATCTCTGGTCCGATTTTGCAGCAGGTGGAGGGGGCTGAGACGAGGGCGAACAGTCCTGCATTCGGCAGTGTGAGCTGGTTGCCTCTGGTTGTATTACAGCCCTGACTGACCTGGACAGTCCTGGGCGAGTCTGGTCGACAAGTCGGCGCTGGAGGGTATCCCCACCAACGAGCGCAAGCGCCAGGAGGCGATATTTGAGCTGATTGCCACAGAGATCACCTATGTGCGGGATCTGCAGCTGATCGTTGAGGTGCGATCGCCATCCTCCATCGCTGGAACATGTGTGCTCATCTTGCCAGACATTCTACGCTCGGATGCTGCCGATTCTGGAACGAAAAGCCATCACGGTGGTGTTTGCCAACATCGAGGACATTCTGCTGACAAACACAACTTTGATGTCCTCGCTCGAGGAGCGACAAAAGGAGTGCCGGCTATACGTGGACCGGATCGGGGACATCTTGAGTGGACATATCTGCGACTCGAACATGGATATGGTGTACATGGAATACTGCGTCAACCAGAGTACAGCGGCGAAAGTCCTGCAGTCGCTGCGTGCGCAGAACCCGGAGGTCGAGAAAGTGCTGAGTGGGCTGAAAGCCGAGCTCGCAACGCGGAACCTGGATCTGGAGCACTACCTGCTGACACCCATGCAGCGGATCACGCGGTACCCACTGCTCATCAAACAGATCCTGCACTTCACAGAGGCGGGCGACGAGCACCGCGCGGTGCACCAGTCGCTGAACGCAGCTGAGCGCATCCTGCGGCGGATCAACGAGTCGATCCGGCAGCTCGAGGGCCGGGAGACGCTCGCTCGGGTCTCCCAGACGCTGTGGATCGGGCAGGGGCGGCTTGATCTCACTGCGCCCACGCGACATATGGGCGCACGGCAGCTGATCAAGGAGGGCCCGCTGGTGAAGTGCAAGAGCGGGCGCAGGCTGCACGGGTATCTGTGCTCGGATATTCTCGTGCTGGTGTCGAGCGAGAAGACGCTCTATCGGCTGCCGATCCCCCTGCGGGGCGTCAGAGTGGGGGACTACGGAAACGACGAGTCTGCGTTCCAGATTGAAGGCATCGCACTCAGGGCGACCGGGGTCAGGGACTGCCAGGTCTGGATGAGCGAGATTGAGCGTGCAGCGAAAAAGTGTGCTGACGCGGAGAGGAGGTCGACGCTATAATGTGTACTACTAATATATCAAGTTAATGGACCTTTTTTGGATCACAATAACCGCACTCAGCAAGTGGCACCATGATATGGGCTTGAAGTCGATACCGACAGCTATGGTCTCTATTAGACTAGACAAATCCTTACTCTCTCCAGCTCTCTGGCCACGAGTTTCATACTGTGAGTCATCCTTCTCCTTTCCGCCTACGTACAGGATGTTTTCCGCTGTTTGAGCGCGCACCGCCAGACCACAAAGTACTGGCTCACTTTCTCACTACGACTGCAACAGCAACTCGTGACACGATATGATTTTTTGCAAATCACAAGCTGTACACGAACCAGGCACTTGTATCGCCCAGCCCCGGCGCCTCCTCACCCCTAGGAACAGTCCTCCGCCGCTCCGCCTTCTCTCCATTCGTGCGCGTCAGCCAGACGACATTGGCGATGACGAAAACAGCCATCAGCACCGACAAGCTCAGGAGCACTTTCGTGGCGAGGGTGAAGTCCGGTGCGGGTGAGAGTGAACCCATGAGCCAAGTCGCGAGGATGCCGCCGGAGTTGGTCGTGAGGCACCAGATGGCAATCCCACTCGCCCTTCGAACATACGGCGCGGTGTTGTTCGCCGTCCATGTTGACAGAGCGGGGCCGAGGATGGATACTCCAGCGTTCGAGAGGAAGAGTGATGCGTATTGGATGTGGTGGCTCCTTGACTTCAGGAACAACGCGAAGCCTGCGATGCAGAAGATCGACCCAACCAGTGAGACGATCCCGCGACATCGATACCTGTCGGCGATGTAGGCCGCAATCATCGCCACTGCGGAAAAGATCAGTGAGACTGCCTGCTGGAAGGGGCGCGCGTGTTTAACATACAGACGACAGCGAAAGAGAATGGAGGGACGCTCATCAGCTGCGCTTTGGCAGCTGTGTAGCCGAGCGCCAGCACGATAGTTGGCGTAAAATATGCCTGCGAAAATAGGACGACGCCGACACAGAACGCAGTGAGGCCGACCAAGAGAATGTGCGGCGAAAGGAACGTCCGCCCCACCTGGCTCCATTCGAAATGAGTTTCATCTTCCGCTTCACTGTCTTGCCGCAAAACGGCTTGAATGTACGCTTTCTCTTTTGAATTCAGGAAACGGGCGTGCCCTGGCGAGCGCGGGATCAAAAAGAACGAGATGAGACCGATGAAGACGCTGATTGAGCCCTGTGATCTTTTCAGTTGGCAGAAGAGATTGTGCACAGGGCGCACCTCGATGATGAAGATCCACTGCCAGCCCGCATGTCCCCCTTGGCCGTGCAAACGGATGATACCGTAGGCCATGATGCCGCTGAAGGCTCCCGAGATGGAAGTACAAGAGATGAAGGTCGCGACACTGCAGTATCGTCATGCTCTAATTCATAATGAGCAAGGATCACAGCGCACCGTATTTGCAGTCGGTTCTTCGGGTAGAACAGAGAAGTGTACAAGACGAGCCCAGGAAGCAGGCCGCCCTCGAACAGGCCGAGGAGAAACCGGCAAGCCAGCAGGCCGTGGTATGATTTCACAAGACCTTGGGCGGAGAATTGAGATGACGTACTTCTAGACGAAAGTAATTGTGCACCGACCTTGGCATGTCGCGACCACCCCCCACAGGGTCAACATGGTGGGGAGCATCACGTTCGGGCCGATCCTCTTCAGCAAAAGATTCGATGGAAGCTCGGTCAGGATGTAAGGCACGTAAGTGACTGTCAGTGCTATCGAATACTGTCTGGGAGACATGTCGAGATCGACGAGCAGCCCTGCAACACGGGCGTTTCCGATGTTCGTCCGGTCCTGTACTTTTTCGTCAGCTCGCGCGGGAACATGCACCGGGTGAAGCAATCACGAGAAATGAGAGTAGGAAGAGGGTCGTGACGATGGGCAGTAGACACATATCGATCTTGCGCCAGACTGTCACATCCAACAGCTTGCCCGGCTCCGTCAAACTCTCATCGAAGGACGGTGCAGTGTTGATTTCGTCCTCGAGCCCAGTCTTTTCTGTATCCATCGTGTGAGAGGGAGGAGATGTCAGTTGAAAACGAGAGAAAAGACGACTCCAGCAGCTGCTCGCGCTCAAACACGCTTTTATGCTTTTATGACACTGGCAGGTCCGCTCTTGACAGGATGAATTCTGACAGAGCTAGCTTGGCGCCGCCTACATTGCTCATGTGAGACTAGCCGACTGAAGTGCAGGTGTGCAGCTGCTCGCTAAGACGAGAGGTTGCTGCTTTTAACATGCGTTCACTCCGAGAACTGAGCGACAGTGGCAGTGACAGAATCTTGCTGTCACGTGCAAAGTCTCCGCTTTCGGCAAAATCCAAGACTGTCTTGGAAGTTGACCAACTTGTCCGCATTATTACTCGACTACGTTCGAACGCGATAAGCGCGCCAGACCACCTCATCCCGTCTATGTTGCCTGATGGCAAAAGTCGCAGCAGTGCAGCCTCCCTATCGTACAGCCCAACGATGTGGCTGGCTGCTGCAGGACACCCATTACGCTCTTCCCCGACGTAGAACAACTACAATTCAACTTCGATGCGGGCAACTAGAGCTACGGCGTGTGGGGAGTCGCAAGTTAGAGTAAGTGCAGCGCGGCGGACTTGGTTAAAACTTTAGAGATGCACTCTCTAGAATCTGCACTCGTTTGGTGTCTGGTCGCTCGGCGCCCGGACGGAGGTGGGCAGTGACTACTGCGGCAGCGTCCGTCTATGCTCTCAGTACGAATGTTCCCTGAAACAGCGTGTTTCGACATGGCTATCCGCTACTCTACTGGCTAGAACATGTCTGCACCGAAAATCTGGCCTATTTGTCAAAATCCTCGCTTGCAAGCCCTTCTCTGAGTTGACGTCGCTGCTTCATCCTTGCGGTCTCATCGGAGCGGATTCTCACACTATATCGCCGTTTGCCGCACCCTTTTCTTCTGAAGTGTCCGAACTGCAGTTGCCAGTTCAGATTGTGCTGGATCCATCTCATGCAGCACCAGGTTCCTTGAATTCTTTAGCTTTGGATATTGCCTGTCCTACCTTCTCACCTTCAAAGCACACGCACAAACGCCCTGCTCAAGCGCAAATGCAAGGGCTCTGCGCAGCATCATAGCGCACTCGTGATCACCGTCATAAACTGAAGCCCCAATCCACACTGCCCAGTGCATAGGGATCCTCTTCCAACTCTACCGCGACAGTATCGCATATAGTCACGGCAGACGGACTGAGCCATGAGAAACATCTCCTGTAGTGATACGCTCGAGATTGTCGTCGATATTCTTGCGCATGGCACCGTTAGTCTCGGCGTTGAAGTGCGGTGAGTCGAGGAATGATGCCGTGACGGCACGCTTTCTTTGGCGAAGGATGCGACACGTTAGGGGTATATCGTTCGAAAGCAACTCCAGGATGGGATCTGGGAAAAACGAGGCTGACATCAGTTTAGCCGGGCATAGTCTGGGAGGGGGCATGAGCAGATGGGACGTTCAAATACATGTTAAAGTTGAACTACAAGATGGAGGACGTAGACTGGACCTCAACCTCTCAGGCACGCGGGCGAGCTGTCATCCATTCCGCCATATCTAAGTTGCAGTTGATGGAGTTAGCACTTTCGGCCGCATATGCTTCAGTCGAGACACAGAAATGGACAGCGAAAATTTCCCTTGTGAATGAATATTCGGGCTTCAATATGGTCAATTGAGCGGTGAACATCGAGGTAGTCGTCGACAGAGGGTCGGCCGCTTCCCATCACTTGATGCGGCCGAACAGCCACAAGCCCAGTCCGCAATTTGCGCAGCTCCAACTCTCTCCCTCACCTTGCTTGCACTTGGTTGCTTCTCTGTCAGCGGACCCAATCACACTCCCGCGCGCATCCTACTCCCCGAACTCCGACCATGGCCGCCTACTTCTTCGCCTCCCCAGTTGACGTGGACATCAAACTCGAAGGCGAGGACCAACGGAAACAGGTAGAGACGAAGAGCGAGAAGGAGAAGACGGTATCTTGTCCGGTATACTACGACGGAGAGTCGGTCAGCGGGCAGGTGCGGGAACACTCAGTCTGTGCTGTCGAGACCTCATTGGTGATGTCCCCACAGGTCTCCATACGAGTGCGGGATGGGAAGAAGATGCAGCACGACGGGATCAAGGTCGAGTTCGTCGGCAGTATTGGTGCGGAAGCCGTAGAGCGCGGCGTAGGCGCGTGAAACTAACGCCCGTGTAGAACTATTCTATGACCGTGGTCATCATCACGAATTCCTATCGCTATCTCAGGAACTTGCGGCACCAGGCGAGATGCGACAAGCACAGACGTTCGACTTCAACTTCAAGAATGTAGAGAAACAGTTCGAGAGCTATCACGGTATCAACGTGAAGTTAAGGTGAGATCATGAATCCCCGGCCAGACGTTATTTGCTCAAAAGCTTCGAGATATTTCATACGCGTGTCTCTTTCGCGGCGCATGGCAGACGTTTCCAAGGAGAGAGATCTATGGGTGCACTCCTTCCGACCACCTGCAGACACAAATGCGACGATTAAGATGGAGGTCGGGATCGAGGATTGCTTGCATATCGAGTTCGAGTACAACAAATCCAAGTGCGTCGCTAGCATCGTTATCGCCGGTCTGCTGACACGGTTTTGTGCAGGTACCACCTCAAAGATGTTATTGTGGGCAAGATCTACTTCCTGCTCGTTCGTATCAAGATCAAGCACATGGAGCTCTCCATTATACGGCGAGAGACGACGGGCTCGCCTCCAAACCAATACAATGAGAGCGAGACCATCACCAAATTCGAGATCATGGATGGCGCGCCTGTGCGAGGTAGGTGCCGATCTCTGCTGTGTTGTGCCGCTTTTTCATTCAGTCCCACCAGGCGAAACCATCCCAATCCGACTTTTCCTTGGGGGTTTCGACTTGACGCCGACGTTCCGGGACATTAACAAGAAGTTCAGCGTCCGGTATTATCTGAATTTGGTACTCATTGACGAGGAGAACCGGAGGTACTTCAAACAACAGGTAACGCACCCCTTCGATTTATCCGTTTGTGAATATCGCCTCATTTTGTGTCCGGTCCTTGAAGGAGATCACCATTGTCAGGATACCAGAGGTCTGTTGCTCATCTTGCATCTTTCTTCGTTTGTGCTGATTTCTCAATTTTAGAATTGATCCTTTTGGCATATTCTGTTCGACCGACGTTCGTATGTGTGTATATTGTAGGATGGATCATCTTATTCTTGAAATTGCCTCTGCGTGCAGGGTAGCGTGTGTCTCAGCATAGCTCGTCTTGTAGTAGACAACCAGCGATCGAGGTCATGTTAGCGCACTCTACCAGGCTATATCAAAGACCCCCCAGGCTATATCAAAGGGCTCCCAGACTGTATCAAAGGGCCCCCATTCTAAAAAGTACTGATCCCACAAGGGTTGTTCCACGATGTAGTGCGACTCTAATGGGGGGTCAATCATGAAAACAAAACGGCTGTGTTCATGTGACAATGACTGACTTTCCATCTCTCCAGATCCCTTGCGGGCGACGAAGTCGTCGGCAATGACCCACATGTTCTTGCCGCCCAATGCACCGACTTCCCGGTCTAACCCATACTCGTCAAAGGGATCCCGCACGACTATTAGGACTAATCGCGGATCCTCCAAACCGAAGCGGTGAATAACCTTCAATTCTATTTCGGCGTCCTCAAGGTCCTCAGCGATTTTCACAAGGACGCGCAAGCTCGTACAAGTTCTCAAGAGACGCGAGGTGAACCGAAAAGAGGTCGTGGTTTGGAGGGCGAGATGTGTCAGAGCAGGCAGCGTTGCGAGCCCGGAGCAGAGCGTCTTGTCGATTACATCGAACAGGCTCAGATGCGTCAAGCGCTGAAAGAAGGGTCGCCCCAGGTCGATGCCTTGACGAGACCCGAAGATGAGCTCGAGAAACCCATCCAGATATCGCAGGTGCTGAAATGTGTCTAGGATTGGAAGTACACCTTCCGGGGACAAACCGAGGCGAAAGGCGAAGGACCTGATCAACGGACAGAGGCTGAGAAGAGCAAGGGTCTCTGTGGACGACCACTCTGCGCTCTCGTCCAGCCAGAGATGACGGACCCCACGACGAAAGAAGTCAGGGGGCCTGGTCTGCATCAGAGAGCGAAGGGCTGTACGTTGACCAACGTTCATGTTAATCACGACATGGAAGAGGAGCGGTTCTATCCTGTTCATCGAAGCCGCGCCTCAGTGGTGACCGCCCGAGCACGAAAAAAAAAATCACCATGCGTGAACGTGGCGTGCAACGAGGAGGAGAGTCGGGATAGTAGACCGGTCGTTTCGTGCGGCAGTTTCGAATATCTCGCGCTGCAGCTCAGCCGGCAACTGCGACATGAGTCGCCGAGACACTGCCGGGGCTCAATCTGAAGCAGACTCAAGCTGCGAATGTGGCTGTGAGGTGACCGACCCATCTCATCAGGCCTCAGGCGGTGCATCTCACGACTAGTCGGAGGCCCACGGTCGCTCGAGCTGCTAACCGGAGCAGTACCAGTATCGTACAAGCAAGTCTACAGGTGCCTATACAGAAGATGCGTCAAAAGATCATCGGCAGTCCACAATTCCCTCAGTCGCGACCGTCAGCGATCGATTGACACCAACCCTTTCGGGAATTCTACACGGCTTTCTCAGTCTTTCTGCCAAGTGCAGAGTTGGTCGAGTCTGGGAGGAGTATGTATTCCCGAGCCGAGATCAAACTCCCCAACGAGCCTCTCGCGCGTGTGGAAGCGACCAGCTCATCGAGACGGCGCGGCCGCATATTTCCTGCAATGATTTACAGTAAAGTTGTGGAGCACGGTGTGCACTGCGCCCGCCTCGGGACGGCGGTGATGCCTGAAGGAATGGTTTTCTAGTGCTGAGATTCATGGAAAGACTCGAGAATGGGCTTCGCAGATAGTGAGTATGATGCGGAAGATATCGCCGGAGATAGTTAGTGCCCGGAATCGGAGTCATTGCCTGGGGGAGACTAGGGTTAGACTGTCGATCCTTGGGCATTTTGATTCAAGGAGGAACGACTCCGACTCATTACCCTGAACTGTTTGCAAGCACTGGGAGCTTTCAGAGTTTCAGAGTTGGGCAGCACATAGGTAGTCGAGGACTGTCCAGTCCGGCGCGCGAAACAAGAAGCGGAAGCGCGAGCTTGGTTGCTTGGTTATGTGCCGTGCGGGGGCCCTCTCAAACATCTACACACTGGCTTCATTGATGGCTGCGATGTGAATAGACCAGCACCAGGACGGTCGATGGCAACGAGAAAGAAGCATAGAGCGAAGCGGGAAACTTTCAGAACATGGGACTTGAACGCTTCAGCACAGGCAGTCTGGTCAAGTCGAAGATGACGGTAGCACGACAGCGAACGGACACAAAGAGAAACCAGCTGGATATGAACGACATGGGCATAGAAACCAACTGTATCGTAGACAGCACGATGGACGACAAGCAGGGGAATGTACGAACTACCGGCCATGCGCCCCCACAGACGCGCGGGCGCGCGCGACAGAGTCAAGCACTGAGACATCCGGTCGGTTTGCGCACTGCTTTGGCACAGACAGGTCGTGAAATGAGCGACAGCCTGCAATTTGACTTGAGTGCGCGAAGAGAAAATTCGTGTGAGCGTGACGGCTGTATTATATGCGTCCGTCACAATCACGTGATGATTTACATCTTCCTTTCATTTTGGACGCAGCTTGTATGAGACTAGCAAGTGAGAAGTCGGTGGCCGAGAAGACCTGCGGAAGTGACAGAAAGCTTGCATGGTGATCATCCACGTGCCACGTGTGCCGAATGACCATTTCAAAACCGACTGGGTACGCGCAACATTTGGTAGTTAAGCTTTGAGCGGACCTACTCGTGCCAGAGCATCCAGGTTCTTCTGATCTAGATCAGGTCATTCGGATTTCTATGGAAGAGACGAGCCCTCATCTCAAAAATCCGTCTCAAGTCCGTTTCTCGGAGGACAACTGGGTAAACGCCATAAATTCTGAAGCAGAACATTAACGGGAAGGATATATGTAAATAATTCTGTCTAAGAAAAAGAGCGGATGGACCTAATGACCGGACTTGACCAGCAGATAGCTGGAGGTGATCGAGTTCTGAGGGCCCTGCGGGCCGAGCTGCTGCTGCTGGCCGCAGTTGATCGCGTCCTTCTGGGTGGCCACGACGCGGAACAGCGAGCACGTGAGGAGCGGCGAGTTTTTCTGTAAGCGATGATTCAGTAAGCTACCCTATCAAGCAAGGGATAGAGAAATCGACGCACGATGCTGTTGTTGTCGTGGTAGTCTGGAGAGCAGGGTTAGTACGGGAAGATCAGGTTGGGTCACATGCCACGTACAGTTCGCACTCCAGCAGTCCTGGTTTGCGGTGCACATGTCGGCACAGGCTGAAACGGTGGTCAGAAGCAAGTTGGTTTGTGAGACGCGTTGATTTACCCTGCGGAGAGTCGACGAGACCGAACGTCTCATACGCATTCGCCGGCACCCAGATCTGGACCGCGCACGTGAGATTCTGGAATCCATAGCTGTAGCCGTAGGGAGCAGGTGGCGGGGGAGGCGGTTTGCTGTACGGTGGCGCGCCGCTTCCAGGAAGCATCGTCGGCGGGGGCGGCCCGGACGGACAGAACGCGCATCCCAGCAGCAGGCGCAGAAGATCGCACAGCAGCTGAACCGACAGCATTGAGCGCATGCACGATGAGGAGATCGAAGAAACGGACCGTGCCAAACAGACTGCCGACGGAGTACACGAGCGACGCGACTTCGGCGGGCGCGTTACTGGGCTGGCCGTAGTACCACCCGGGCTGGCAGCCGGTCTCCCAGGGCGGGATCGGCGCGCCGTAGTTGTTGCCGGGGTGGATGCCCACAGCGGTCGTCACCACCGCCGCATTGGGGGCGGCCATGCCTGCAGCGCAGGCGACGAGAGCAGAGAGAAGGCAGAAGACGTTGGCGCGCATGTTGTTCGAGTGGTTCGATGCATTCAGACACATGCGCTCTGGCTTTTATACGCGTCAGAGATCCCAGCGCTGGCGCATATGCCGGCAAAGAGGACTCTCCGCCGTTCATGTCAGATCTAGACTAGGGGCAGACAGGACAGGGAAGGAATGGGCTCCCGAAAAGCAAAGACACCTTGCTAGGGCCAATGCAATGCCCCAACCTGATGGATGGCATGATCCTGTCATTCTCGGATGTAGCCAGCTGACCAGTAAGCCCACGAAAGCGATTTTTTGTGTGACCATCGTTTCATATCACGAGAAATCGCGCGTCCCTGCGCATCAGTCCATCCACTACATTTGATCCGTGTCAGGCCTGGACTGAACCCACCAGCCAACTACTGCAGTCATGTGTGGCCTGAGTCACTGAAACAAAGGGTCCGGTGTGGCATCCAGACTCGAAGTGGCCATTCAAGCCGACAGTATGCAGGCCATGGTAGGTGGAAAGGTTCTGCCCAGAGGTTCTCAAAGCAAAGCTCCCCAGTGTCGAAAACGAGTTGAATGGTCCCCGCAAAGCTGATCATTCCGCCGTGCATTTTCGCGCACGTACCACTGGTACACAGCATGCCGTGGTACTGCAAGCACTCTCCGGTAGAATTCTTGCATGGAAGTTTCAGGTACCGGGAAAGCGGAGACATATTCAGGTCCAAACACTCGATGCCATGCCACGGTTTAAAGACTGCAGGATTCCAGGGTTATCGCAGAAGAGGTCTGGAAGAGGTCCATGCATCGCATCATGATCAGTCATTCGAATCAATTTCCGGTGACCTGACACGTCACATCAGATGATGCAAACATGTCAATCAAGTGATGAGAGCGCGTCAGCTGCATTGCTGTCTTCATCGCCTTTCTCGTGTGAATCCCTCTGATACCGTGTCGCAAATTCAGCAAAAGCGATCCGTAGCCTCTAACAGGATCATGATTAGTCGTCGTCCTATTTATCTCCGGAGTCCGGAGTGATGCCCCACATATCTGTCATCAGACACGCCATGTTCTCCCGAGCTGCACCTAGCTGCACTCTGTCGCAAAAATAATTGATTTGTTATCGGGCCTGACAAACTGATCAGGGTCTGACAAGGCGCGATAAGTTGTGATCAGGCAGCGGTCGGTCACTGGTCAGATGGCTCAGGCCTGGTCAGTCATGGTCAGTGTCTTGTCAGCACCCCAGGGAGCTCCAATTCATTATGTAAAAGTGCTTCCAGGCCCCCTCCGGAGGCCATCACTGGAGGCGCCTTCCTCATTGGTACCCAGCAGGCCATTTGTCTACTGCATGCATGGTGCACTGGGCATGGCCTTAGGGGGTTGTGATGTGCTCTGGTAGTTATTATTTAGGCCTAGACAGTGTTTTAGCTCACAAAACCCTGTATATATTGTATATATTGCTTCTGGTTGGTGTATCATCACTGCATAAAATCTGTGGTTTGTGCAGCAGAGCACTCCACCTGTGTATGGAGAGGCAAGCTCATGTATTTGAATGGTGTAACACACAAGTAGCTCATGTATAAGCACCACAATGTAATTTAGCAGAAAAAGCAGTCTGCAGCCTCCATGGCCTCCAAGAACAGTGAAAATAGGTGATAATGAGGCCAGACCATCTTGGATAATACTGAAACATCTCTGTGCACTCTCAGACTTTGTTTGTCAGACACTTGAGCTCAAAAAAACATATACTGGAGCACCTAACATGACATGCCTCCACCGCCTCCAGGGTGCAAGACAAAGAGCGGTATTTTGATTCAGCTGCACAGGGATTTATTTTGCCCACTTCCCAACATTTTCAGATGCTCAATCAGGCCTTTTCTTACGTGTGGGACACTCTCTGTGGGGCTGCAGGTGAATTTTAGCAGAAAGCATAGGTGGCCTCCAAAGCCTCTCAGTTCCATGACTGCAGGCCTTTGTTTTGATCGGTTGCTTTCTGATGCATTTACAAGTTGATAGGAAGTCTCAACAATGCCGGGATTTGGGCCAATTTATGCTGGCAACAGTGGATGGAAAGTAGCAGAGGTGGCCTCCACAGCCTCCTTGGAGGTGCTGGAGGCGCATGTAAGATCCAATCAATATCATCAATATCATCGTTACATCAATATCATCATTATCATCAAGGCCATCAATATCATCAATATCATCATGGATCATTGGTAGATTGATCAGCCAATCAAATGATGTATAACCACCTAACATTGAGTATTTTAATTCTTGAGAGGCACAGACTACATGTATGCTCATAGTGAAACTGGATTATTGGTCCCAGAGCATGTCCTAGCAACATATTACACTCTTGTCTCAAGGACATATGATTTAAATTCGGAGTTTGCAAATGAGCTGAAAGTCAACTTTGCATCTCATCTCTAGTTGACTTTCATCTCTGTGCACTCTCAGACTTTGTTTAGCTGAAAGTACTCCACTGTACCACTCATCTTCAGTTGACTTTCAGTTCATTTGCAAACTCCGAATTTCAATGATATGTTCTTGAGACAAGGATGTAATATGTCATTGGGGCATGTCCTGGGACCACTAATCCACTTTCAGTATGAGCATACATATAGTCTGTGTCTCTCAGGAATGAATATACTAGATGTTTGATGTTTATTCATCATCTGATTGGCTGATCAATCTACCAATGATTGGTGATGCTGTTGATGCTATTGATGGCATTGATGATATTGATGATATTGATTGGATCTTGCATGTGCCTCCAGCGCCTCCAGGGTCCCCCATTCTCTCATTTTAACATTCTGCAGCAATTCAACTCGCATTTAGAGGTGGAAATGACAGAATGTGGTCAGCCAGGAGAATATCTGTCTGTTACATTGTCATCTCATCCCAACTCTTCAAGTAATAACCTGTGGAGGCGGTGGAGGCCAGTTCTGCCATTTGCTCCAGCATCTGATTCATATGCTGAGCTGTCTCCATAGAGGACCCTTGGCATTCAAATAAGACACCTGACATTGAACACATAGTTTCTGCTGCTAAATCCAAAGAAACTGCTTTTAGTCCCCGGCTGTGGAGGCTGTGGAGAGCTTTTCTGTAATCTGCTCTAGCATCCAATTCACATGTTGAGCTATCACTCTAAAGGATCCTGTGCATCTCAATGAAGATAAATAATGTCATGAACACAGTTTGTGTGGCTGAATCTACAGTAACCGCTTTTGATCCCCAGCCCTGGAGGCGGTGGAGGCTTGTTCTGCCACTGCTCCAACATCCAATTTATATGCTGAGCTGTTGTTTTGACAAAGCATAAGCATCAAATTGTTCTATTGAAGCGGAATTCAAGGGCCTGTGGGCTACCCAACACCTTTTTTCACCTCAGTTACCACCGCCAACCCCCCATATAGACCCCGCGGGGGTACCGGGGGCAGCTGGCCATTTTGGGGCAGGGGGATGGGCGGGGGTCAGGACGGGGGTCAGGACGGGGGTGCCCATACATACCATGTGACTTGTCCATAAGAGCGGGCAGCTGGGCGGGAAAAAAAAAATCAATCACATGATGCACCAAATGGGCGGGATGGCGGGAAAATCACGTGATGAGCTGCAGGAAAAATTTCAAAATGGCGGGGGTTGGCAGGGGCGTTGGCGGGGGCGCTACCGCCCCTCCCGCACACTGCAGCGGGCAGTGGGCGCATTATCACGTGACTTTTTGGGGGCCCCTTTTTGCACCATTTGGCATGATTTTGGAGGTGCTGCTTGATAGATTGCATGTTGTGGCAGACAGTGGGCGCAAAATCACGTGATTTTCCGCCAAAAAAAAAAATGGAAGCCTCTCTAAATCATCCCAGTATAATTTCCATAGGTAAATACACTAATTGACCATGCATTTGAGCTTAGAAAACCCCAAATGCACCCTGCACAATAGGATTGTTGATGCGCTTGATCCCATCATCTGGCGGGGTCTGCCGCGGGGTCAGTCTGGCATATTCTATATTTGACCTCCTTTAGCCGTAGCAGTAGTGCTGCTGACCACCAGGGCAAGAATACAAACATTTATGAAATATCTTATCAAGGTAGACAAAGCCAATAGGGAAGGTGAAGATGTGTAACTGGATATTGCAATTGATGCAGGGCCCAGTGCGGGGTCTGGTGCGGGGTCTGGTGCGGGGTCTGATGCGGGGTCTGGTGGGGGAGCAGGGGCAGGGGTGGATTACACAAAATTTTGATGTATCTACTCTGGCTAGGGTTGTAGAATATCACGTAACTTTTCTCTATTTTGGCAGGGAATGGGGGATAAAGATACACAACATTGCCCGCATGTTTTGGCTGGGTCTCCAGGTCAAGTCATGTGATTTACCAATGTTTCGGTGGGGGGTAGGAGATTAATGGATGATGTTACCTATATTTTTTTTTTGAGTCAGTTTTATTATTCCCCGTGGTCGCATACGATATGTTAGGGATATGTCATGTTCGTAGTATATTAGCGTCCGATAATACCGTTCTCCGCCCTTTAAGTAATGTACTTGGTTATGGCCGACAGGCTCGGGGGTGCCCGTGGCGGGGGTGTGTGGTCTAGCACCTGCTCGTGTGTGGTCGCTGTCGCGTTCCGTGATTGTCCCCGCGTCTCGTTGTTGTATCGATCCCTTCGATTTGGTCGACTTCTCCCATTGTGCGCGTGAAACGTTTCGTCCTCGAGATGTATCGCATTAGGTGTGGTGTGATTTTGGGGGATGAGAGGAGCTTTGTGATATCCCGCGTGTTCGGGCCGCCGTCTTCGTTCATCAGTCGACGTGCTGCTTCGTGTGCCGGACAGGCGAGTAGATAGTGGGCGACCGTCTCGTTCTCCAGTTGGCAGGCCTGACATCTCGGAGATTCGTTCTTTCCTATGCGATGTAGGTGGCTGGCGAGTGGGGCGTGTCCCGTGCGGAGTTGGGTGAGGATCGATGCTTGTCGTCTTGGGATATCTTTGGTGAGTTTCTGGAACTTGTTAGTGGGTGCGTTTGGGAGTAACTTTCCCAAACGATTGTATCTCATGGATTTCTTCCAGTCTGCGTTCGCTCTCGCTTTCAGTGCTGCGTTGTATGCTTGTACGTTTGCCGATTTGCTGAAGGGTAATGTTCCGTGTAGGGATTTGTGTAGCAGCGGGTCTGTTCGGCGTGGGTTCGTTGTCCGTGACATTGCCGCTGCCTTCGCTTCTTCATCGGCCTTTTCGTTTCCCAAGATATCCATGTGTCCTGGCGACCATCGAATTGTTATTTCGACGGTTGGTTTTATCTGTCGCAGCCGCGTGGTGGCACTGTCGAGTGCGTCCCATATGTAATGGGAGGGATTTGGCATGCGGCTCCTTGTTGCGTCGATGGCAGAGGTGTTGTCAGCGTAGATCGATACGCTCCCTTGTAGATCTCTCTGTTCTGCAATAAGCCCTATGGCTAAATTCAGCCCTATTCCTTCGGCTTCGTATACAGTGTGTTGGTCGTCCGTGCCCATATACTTTCGTGCAATGGCTTTGATAGTCCCGTTGTGATATAGTACCGCTGCCGCACCTATTTGGCCATCAATCCCCGAGCCGTCGGTGTAGACCTTCCACTTAGCCGGGTCCGAGCGCTCCTGCGCTATGGCCGTCTCCTTTGTGGTTCGGGAAGCGATCTTTATTTGCGGTCTCCAATCTGCCGGTTGTCGGATTGGTCTGATGTCTTCCATTTGGCGCGGGTGTAGATCAAACTCGTGCATGAGCTCGTGTAGGGGGGTGCGGTGTCTCTTGACGTAGCGGGCCGCTGCATTGTGGACTGCGCCATGTAGGGGGTGTACTTTGCTGAGGGTGGCCAGTCGTACAGCGGCTCGGTGTCGCGTCTTCTTCACCTGTAGGTGGATTGGCAATAGCCTGGCATGTATATCTAGCGCATCTGTGGGTGTGGTGTTCATTCCGCCCGTAATGAGGATAGCAGCGCGCCTTTGTATCGATCTGAGTTTCGGGAGGGCCCCCGCTGTGGGTATGGTCCCTTCTTCGGAGTTGTGTCGTGTCGTGGTGAGGAAGACATCCGCCGCGTAGAGCATTCTTGGCACGCATGTTGCTAGGTATAGGCGGCGCATCTCGGGCGGTCCTACCCCGTGTGAAGGTCTTGCGAGTCTTGAGACTTGATTCAGCCATGTATGTCCCTTGGCGATGGCGGCTGCTGCTTGTTCCTTCCAACGTAGCTCTCGATCGATCCAGACCCCTAGTAGCTTGACCGCCGGTGCGGAGATGATCTTGTGCGATCCCAGTTTCATGTCGGGTCTCGGTTCCGGCATTGTCTTGTTTGGCTGGAATGGTTTCTTTACCCGACGTCTGGAAAGATCTACCAGCTGGTATTTTGCCGGTCCAAAGGTGGTGTTATGGCTTCGTGCCCACTCCGCCAGGCCGCCCGGTCGTTCTAACATGTCTCTGATCTTCTGGTGCGTTTCCTTAAAGTCTTTCCCCGTTGCAATGAGTGTTTCGTCGTCTACGAAGGTGACGTCGTGTTCTCCTTGTTTCCTGTCTGGGATCTTGGCGAGTCCTGAGTTGTATATTAGCCACAGTAGGCCTGAATGTGGGTCACCTTGGTCGAGTCCGTTTTCGACGTCTATCGGCTCGGATGTGTATCCGTCAAAGGTGATGATTGCTTTCCTGCCGGCGTATCGGCGTTGTATCCAATCAGTATGTTGCCTTGGTATTCCCGCCATGCGTAGTTCGTGAGTAAGTACGTCCAGGTCTACACTCGGGAACGCGCCTTTGACGTCTGTACAGAGGACGCTGGCTACCTGTTCTCTCCTCCATGCGTCCTTTGCAATTTTTGTGACTACGTGGAGCGCATCGGTCGTTGCTCGCCCTGGTCTCGCCCCGAACTGGGATTGAGGTAGGATGCCTGCCAACTCGACCTCGGTGGTGACTTGTAGATTGCGCGCTGCGTTTTCGATTGACATATGGCCCTTGGCTAGAACTATGGGGCGGTAGCTGGCTGGCGTCTCGTAGCTTGCTTTTCCGGGTTTTCTGAGTACGACTGTGTGGATTCGGTTCCATTCGCGTGGGTAGTAGCCGAGTCTGTCGCCTGCCCTGAATACTCTCCCTAGCCTCGGGACAAGTTGTGCTGCGTTATATATGTATACGCAGTTGGGCGCGGTGCCGGGCTGTCGGGCCTTGTAGGGTTTCAGCTTCGCAATTGCGGCATAGATTATTGTGTCTGAGAGGGGTTTCCATCTGTAAACAGGTTCAGGGTAAGTCTGTTGATCCGGGACAAGGGAATGAGGCGGTTTGGGCGGGAAGAACTCAGCGTGGAGTATTTTGGCTTTTTCTTCGTCTGTGGTGACTGCGTGAGCCGTCCGTGTTCCGGTGTCCGTTCTTAGAGCGGGCATTCTTGTTTTTCCTCCGTCCGACGCTGGGCCTGCCACTAACTTCTGCGCTGTCCAGACGTCCGTCTCTGTCAGTCCTTGCAGCCAGCTCCTCCAGTGCTGTTCCTTCGTCTTCCGGATCTTTTCGGTTAACCGATTCCGCATGGTTCTCGCCATCTCGTGTGCGGGGTGTTCGGGTATGTGTCGATGTGCGTATGATGCGCGTTGCATCTTCTGCGTCAGTCGTCTTTCCTTAGATAGGCCCGGGTTCCACCAGCGCTTTGAGTGCGGGCATGGCTTTGATAGCGGTACGTGCTTGTGTACGGCTGTATCGATTGCTTCGTCGATTGCCTTGATCTCCTCTTTGACTTCTTCTGGCGTTCGTAGAGGGTTCGGGGGTCGGTTCGCAAGCTCGGTTGTCAGTGTCCGTCTGAATTCGCCCCAGTTTGTCGCTCTCCAAACTCTCCTCTGCGCTTGGGTCGTCCTCCCGAGTCCAAGGTCTAGTGTTGATATTATAGGCATGTGGTCTGTGCATGGTGGTCGCATATCAGGGGTGGTATTGCAGGTAATGAAGGACTTAGCAAGGGGGGTGGAGCAGAACACGTTGTCCGTCCTGGTGTAATTGCCTGTGCCGTGCGCCTTGAGGGTCGGTATTCCTTTCGGTAGGGTCATGGCCATGTCGTATCTGTTGAGTAACTGGAGTAGAAAGTCAGTTGCGCGTAGGTGCCTGTTCGTGAAGAGGTGGTAGTTTCTTTCTTCGTCCCAGAGTGGGTGGTGCCTGTTGAAGTCACCGGCCCAGATGTACTTTACCCGTGATCCGCCCTCTCTGTCTCTCACTGGTCCTGTTAGGTATTGCTGTAGGGCGTGTAGCGTGTTGTTGTGCTCGCACGCGTTATATATATTGATGATCCGGATGGTTTCTCCTGCGGTCGTGAGTTCGATTCCAGTTAGGTCCGGGGATTCCAGTGTGATTTGTTTCCAATCTGACGTGGGGACGCTCGCGTTTATGAGTATCAGCGATCTTGTCACCATTGGGTTTTTGGCGTGTGTGCTTGGGTATATGGGCGTGAAATGGTGGTTTGTACGAGATGTGCCTCGGAAGTCGATGTAAGGCTCTTGTAGTAATGCAATGTCGTATGTTGTAGGTTTCAGGGCGTGCAGGAACGTCTCTTGAGCTGTCAGTGATTTGTTGAGGTTTTGCTGCCATACCTTTAGGGTTTCGACTCTCGTCGTGTTGTCCGGGTGTGTATTCATTCTACTGTCTTTTGCGTGCCCGTTCGTGTTGCGTCGTCGCGTTCTGGTGATTGGTAAGCGTTGTATTCTCTGTCCATTTCACTTGCCCAGTCTGTTGTCGTCTCCCTTGTGTTGCTCCAGTGGTTCGCAAAAGACAGGGTGGCCTGTCTCATTCCATCCGGCTGTTGGTTTAAAGTCTGTCGGGGTTGTCTGCCCCGTTGAATGTTACCTCTCATGTAGTCGGCTGTAAAGGCCGCTGTCTGGGATGGGAGACCCGTGCGGAATCGCGTGGGTTCTTGGATCTTTGTGTTGTGATCGTCTCTTGGTGCTTCGTCTTGTACTTCGCGTGTGAGGGTCCAGGAGCTTGGATCGTCTTCTACTGGGTAATATCTGTATTTTGCGTCTGGATTGCGTTGTAGTGAGGCCTGTAAGTGATCAGTGAAGGTAGGGCAAGACCTGTCGGCCGCGCCGTGCCCCTTGTGTGGACGTCCCTTGGTTTTACAGTTTGCACATTCTCTTTTGTCGTCTCCCTTTGTGCAATCGCTAGTCCTGTGTTCCCCTGCGCATCTTGCACAGATATCCCTCGTGAGAGGGCAGTCTCTCGCCATGTGTCCCGTGTTGTACAGTTGACATTTCATGCACCTTGTCGGCTCCGTGAGTAGTTTTCGTGCGTACACCTTTTTACCTTCGATGCAGATGCCGTGTTTCAGGATTCGATTCGCTTGGTCCTTAGTGTCCGTGCCCATGATAACGTGGGCGAAGCGTTGGTTTGGGCTGTGGCGTTCTCGTGGTTTGACATATCGCGCGTGTCCAATCGCGTTGGGCGGGAGGCCGTTGTTCGTTTCGATATCGCGTAGTTCATCTGTGCTTTCTGGGTCAAAAGTTACTGGTACAAATTGGATGATCACCATGTGGTAGCGCTTCGCGTGTTTGACCATCCCGCCGAATGCTTCGAGGAACCTCTTCATAGTCCCGTGGTCGCGTAGCCATTCCGCCTGATATTTGTTGGCCATGTATATGACCAAAGCCCCTGCTCTCGTCTTCGTAACTCCGACAGCAGTTGGTTCGTTGTCTTGTAGAAGTCCCTCTTCTTCATCCTCTCGTTTGGCTGCGTCGATCGCTATTTTGACCTTGGCTAGGGCCTCTTTCTCTGTGAGGTCCGCCCATACTGCTGGTTCGTTCGCGTTAGAGCTGCGTAGCGTGACTTGGTTGTCTCGTGCTTTCGCAAAGGCGAGGTCGGCACGTAACTTGGCGGGGATGGGTTCTGCTCCTAGCCTCGCTGCGTCTGCGTATGAGCTGTAGGGTGTGGGTAGTCCGTGGTTCATGGGTTCGTACACGCGGCGTTGGGTGGAGGCTGGTCGCCTGGTGTCGTTCTTATTGCTTGTCATAGCTGAGATTTGGTTTTCGAGAGCGCCCATCTGTTCTTGCAGTTTGTTCGCGATGGTTTGGATTCCTTCGTATTGGTGTTGGATCGCCTGTGTCACCAGGCTGTCGATGTCGTGACGGTCTACGGGGTGTGTGGTTTCGTCGTGTGGTCTTTGCTCGATCATTTGGCGTATTTCCTCGATGTCGGCTGCCATCTTCTCTTGGGGTCTGGTGTTGATCCCTTCCAGGAGGAGCGCCGTCATCTTCAGGGAGTCTGCGGCTAAGGCTGAGAGCTTCGGTATGTTCGCGACCCTTAGCAGTGCAAGTGCAATGGTGTTCATGTCGAGGACTTCCGGTGCATCTTCTGCGCAGAAGCCTTTCGCGACGAGGAAGTTGCGTGCGTCGGTGGTTGATACTTTCTCCCATTCGAAGGGTCCTGTCCCCAATAGCTTGTCACGACCTAGTCCTTCGTGTGTGTTCATGTCCCTGCTCGGCGTGGCTCTTGTGTTCGGCGTGTTTCGGGTTCCCATTGATGCCCTCGTTGTTGGTTGCGACTGTTGGCTACTCGTATGTGTCTCTCGACTCATGCTTTTGCGGGATCGTATAGTGTGGTAAATGGTAGTATTAAGGTAGTGGTGTATGCCGCCGTATTCCTCGCTCCAGCCCAGTCAGTGACGGAGCCTTCGCTTAAGAGCACGTGGTGGTGTGAAAACAAGAAGAGTCCCATGTTACCTATATAATCCATGGCATGTGAAGTCAAGCAGAACATGTGATTTTCTCATTTTTTGGCTGGCAGGATGGGTGGCATAGTAGATTGGCAGACCAGGGTCCACACTCCACTCATTGATTGTTTGCTTTACCCATTTAATATATATGTGTAGCACAGTGGTATCCATTTTTGGAGCTTGTAATAGAACATATTAGGTACACATCTCATCCCCCCCTTCCTGGCTGAATGCACTTGAGGTCTGAAACTTGTGTGTTCCCTTGCAAGCGATCTGCTTGGGTTTCAGCATGAATTCATTAAATAGAGTGGATTTGAGGTGAACTATATTCATTACTCGGTGTGATGTGAGAGGATGTATTTACTGGCAAGTTGTCCCAAAATAGTCAGAGCTTGGTTATCAGTGCAAATTTGACATGTAAACTCTTAACAACTTGTGTCTTGGCTTGTATCTTTTGGAAGACCAACTGCAAACACATGGCTGATTGTTTTTACCAATGAGTCTCTACCCACCCCAGCCATGACCACCTGCCTGCACCCCCGCCTTCACCCCCGCCCCCCTGCCAGCACCCCCGCAACTACCCTGCCACTGATTGACCCCCGCCATCACCCCCGCCACACCGGTGCCTCAGCCCCTGCCATCTCCGAATATGTAATATTATGTAAAGTGACAGCCCGGAACACATCAAGTCAGTAGCCAATCAGGACCTGTATAAACGTCGTACCTAACTATGTTTTGCTCTTCTGAGACTGTTTTTACATATATGCTGCTAAAAACCATCGGAATTATGTCTCCTTATGCTGTTCTTGTTGAATATAATGCCACTTCATGTCCTCTGTCAGCCCGAAATTCGAAACATGGAAACAGCTCATAGTGACTCAATGTTCCTATATAGAGAACACTTCAACATGGTTCACTTTGCATATTGCGCAAAATATATTTTCTGCAAGGGCCCAACTTCACACAACCGAAGGATACACCCTTTGGCAATGCCTGAACAAAATCTGGGGAGTGCTGGACCCTGTAACGATTCAAAAATACGAAATAAATCCAAAGTATAGTGTGATTTATAATGTGGGATACGGGCCAGTTTAAAGAGATGTGAGCCTCTGGTCATCTTGAATATCGTTTCTAACAATGTTTCGGTCCCCTACCTCCTACCAGACAACCTCTGTTCTCACTGGAACGTGCAAAACCCACCCAAGCTTGTAAAATCAATTGTCGCCCAGAAACAAGAGCAGTCGAGTTCCTTTGTTGGAATTGGGTAGAGGTAACCATGAAGTTGCTTGGGCTGCAGTATAAAAGCATGGGAATGTGTTTCTATGTGTGTTCATCTGGTCGCTCCACATTTGATTGGCCAGCAGGGGCTGGCGCACCCCCGCAGTCAACCCCGCCCAATCCCCTGCAAGAATTGTATTCACAAGGTTTCTGCGCAATTCTTTGTCAGGGTTCTGTGTATTAGCACACTCATTACAGTGTCTCAATGTGATGTTCACAGGTTATATTCAATCCAGCAAATGATGCTTGTAACAGCTGTATCAAATATGCTATTAAAGAGAGTGAAACATTGGAGATGCAGTCATCCTTAAAAAGCGGGAGGACCACTTCAGCTGTTCGGAAGGGGAGCAGTAGCCATGACTATTCCTGCTGATCAATGTAGCTGTGACTGGACAACCCCCTTGGGGATTTGCTGAACACATGTAGTTGCGCATTTTTTAATATGTTAGCATCTTTTGAAGCCACAAACTCCACCAAAATGTACTGGCAAAACCATGCTTTAATCTCCTACCCCCCACCGAAACATTGGTAAATCACATGACTTGACCTGGAGACCCAGCCAAAACATGCGGGCAATGTTGTGTATCTTTATCTGTCATAGTTCGACCACTTTTTCATCTTATCATCGACGATCTTATCTTATCTTGGCACAACTTATCTTATCACGGATCACGGCATCAGACGGTCCGGACTAGGGGTTTCAGGGATTATCTTCATCGATTCGAGGCTGCGCGACATATGCTCCAGAAGGTTCTACTACGACCCATGACCAGCGTTCCATGCGGTACATAGCCCTATGACTCATTAGTTGTAGATATGACTCAGACTGGATTTGGGTATAAATACTGTAGCTACTTGGTTGTATTCTCCAGTCTTCGAATTTACTTCTCTTTTCGACTTTGTTTTTGGGTTGATTGTCACATAATTCGAAGACTCCCCTCATACCCTCCTACCTCATACCTCTTACCCTGCATCTTGCACCGCTACGCCCGCTATATCCTCTTAACCCTTATCACCCCACTCACCCTTTTACCGAATCATCTAGTCGTCCTCCACTATCGCAGTGAAGGGTTCATATCAAGCAAACAGCACCAGGCCACGGGTAACGTTGAGCCCGACCCAAGCCTTACGGTAGCTACAAGGAGTGCTGCGGAGACCTTCGGGAAAACGCACCTCGGGATCATCGGGCACGTGAAGAGCTAGGCCCGGGATCTTTTTGCTAGCAAAAGAACCTTTCCTCGAGTGCTTGTACAGCACACGAATCCACCATTTCGTACCGATTCCCATCGTCGTCTGGGAGTCCATCCCCTCCCCCCATCGTACCATCGTCGCCCGATCTGGCGCATCAAAACCAACCCGGGCCCTCCGACCCCTACCTCGCCCTCCCACCGCCTGAAGACGAGATCCCCGACCTCGACGAACTGCCCTCCGAACAACCACCCTCGCCTCCACCTCACACGCCTACCCCTACCATGTCAGGGCATCACCGCATCACCCTCGCCGCCAACCCCCCCTACTTCGATGGCGACAAGTCCAAATACCTGGGCTTTGTGGACGCGTGCACCACTTACATCGGTGCCTATCGATCGGAGTTCTCACAAGATGAGACCAAAATCCTCTTTGTCCTCTCCTACCTCCGTAACGAGAACGGCACGAGCTGCGCTGCCTCGAGATGGGCGATGAACTGGAAGCAGCACAACTTCGATGGCTTCCAGGGACTGAAGGCAGGAGTCACATCAAAGAACTTCCTGGAGGAGTTTCAGAGGGCGTTCGGGGACTCCAATGCGGAACAAGTCGCCGCTGCTCGGCTTATGGCCCTGCGTCAAAACAAACGATCCTTCGCGGACTACATCTCCGACTTTGAGATGTTGGCCGCGGATGCAGGCTACAATGTGGTTGACACCACCAACGACAAAGGCGAATACAAGAAGGGGGACCAGGATAATATCCTCATCGAGTTCCTGGAGCGCGGACTCAGCAGCGAGATCGCCAGCCGTCTCTACAACACCGGTGTCCCTCTGCCCAAGGCCTATGGAGCGTTCAAAGCCTGGTGCATCAACATCGAAGCCAATGCTCTGCGTGACCAGCTGCGCAAAGCGTCGTATGGGCACCCCACACAACGACCACCTCCCCAGTTCCGTCCCCAAACGGCACCAGTGGCGCCCACACCCGCTCCGGCCCGACCCGCTGCCAACGAACCGGTTCCGATGGAAATCGATCGTACCCACGCCCGCGGCCGCAATATCATCTGCTACAACTGTCAGCAGCCCGGGCACATTGCGCGGAACTGCCCGGAGCCCAAGAAGAAGCGCACGTTCTTCAATCGGGCCACAATGCTGGAAGAAATCGAGAACGGGGACAAGGACAACGAGTTCCTGAAGGAGATTGCCGAGAAGCTGCGCGAGAAGGGTTTTTGAAGCGCTCCACTCCTCTAGCCAAGGAGGTGGAGCGTCCGGACTATGGACGATTTTCTGTACTTGTTTCGATTAAAGATACGGACAATATTTCATCTACATACACGATCTCAGACTCACTACGTACAAATATTCACGATTTTCTTATTGCCGAGATGGAAAAAGAACGCCAGGAAAAGATAGCTCTAAATAGAAAATACTTACAAGATAAAAAGGATCAGAAAGCTGCAGATAAATTATTTTTGGACTCCTACGTATTTATGGCTCGTGGAGAAGGAACCACGTCAACAAAGACCGAAAAGGGGAGCATCGCTCCGAAGGCTCGATCCTTGGAAAAGGAGGAAGCGCCCAAGGAATCTGCCAAAATCGAGGTTCCAGAAGCACCCAAACGCACCAGGGTGCCAGATGCCATCCAGAGGAAATTGGCGACCGAGAAACAGAAGGGCCCCCAGCCCAGCAGATTGGCGCAGGAATTGCGCAGTTACCAAGCCGAAAGAAAGAGGCATTCGATGGACGTATATGTCCAGATCACGGGCCTGGACTCCGGGAAAACGCGTGGAGTCAAGGTGCTGCTCGATAGTGGCTGCAGTACCTGCTGCATCGACACCGACTACGCACGGGCAGAAAAGCTGGATATCCAAGAGCTTCCGCAACCCATTGTGGCTCGTAACGCCGACAACACCGAGAACATCAGCGGTCGGATCACGCACTACGTCGACTTGAGAATGAGAATCGGTCCTCATGTGGAGACACGCACGTTCCTCCTGACGTGTCTGGGAAAAGCCCGGATCTTCATCGGCCTGGATTGGCTGACGGAACACAACCCCGAGGTGGATTGGCAGGAGCAGACAATGAGATTCAGCCGATGCCCAGAGCAATGTCAAATGAGGGGTCACGAGGAGCACCAAGCGATGATCGACATGGATGCAATTGACCTGGACGCGGGTGCACCGGATCTGGAAGAGGGAGAATCGATCTTGCTGATCGACTTTGGAAAGGAGGTAGACCTACGGCTGAAGGAAACGCCGGCGCAGAAATTCGCAGAAGAAGCGGAAAAGGAGAAGGAGAGAATGACCGAGGGAAAGATTCCAGATCAATACCGAGAATTCGTCA